ATCGAAGGACGAAAAGAGCAAATTCAGGGCGGAACTTAAGATGCCGGGCAGCAAGAGAAAGAGAGACGACGAGGAAGATAGCGAAGAAGAGGATGCCGAGGAAAATAAGAATGCGCTCACAGAAACATCTACAGTTGACCAGTCCGAAAAGAAGAAGAATAAGAAAAAGAGCTACGGCCGCAAGGAGCCCAATCCCTTAGCTGTCAAGAAAAAGAAGTCAAACACAACCTCGGACAAGCAAGGTTCAAAGACAGCGAAGGGGAAAGAAGTTGGAGCTATGGAAAAGGAGGTAGAGGGCATAGAAGCACCGAAACGGAAACGCATACGAAAGCATAAGAGTGGCGTTTCTACGAGTGGTGAAAATGCAGCTGAAACACACGCAGTTGAAGCTCATGCATTAACAGAGAACTGAGGTTCATATAAGCCAATGGGAAATTAGCATAAAGGCGTTTGGCTCTGGGTCACCATATGATTTAATGCTGGACTCTGTACAATTAGCGAGCACTTGATACCATACCTACGAAGCTCTGCTAATGCTAATGCTAATGCTAATGCTAATGTGAGGGTTGCTTTACTCGGTAATGTACCTAGTATGTGTCGAGTGCGCATACCTATGTACGTGCAATTGTCTTCATAACTGCATTGTACCTTTTCTTGGCAGGTACCTACTATGTGGTGGGGGTTTACACGTTTACAGCGTTGGATTGGGCACTCAGCCTGCCTCACTTGACACCTAACGGCCCCATACCTATCCCTATCCACATCGGTTCATACAAGGTACCTGAGTAAGTATACCTACCTCCTAAGGTAGTAAAGTGGTGGCTTTATCTGATAGCGTTCGACATCGGCCGCGAGTCCATCAAAATTTCCACTAAAAATGAGCATACTTCTTCAATGGTCCTGATCCATCGAATAGTCTCCGCCTTATTACCGTGGGGAATGTGACTATTGCAACCATCGACCACGTCCGCATCCCATATTAATGAACTTAACGAAACATCCGCCGAGCTACAAGACACAAACATCAGATAACAATTGCGTACATAGTATACATGCGTAGAAGACGTACCGATGGCGCCGGTAGGAGGAGCCCAGGAGGTCGACGACTTCGGCCTGCCCATCAGGAAATACGCAGGTCCCAAGGCAAAGGGTCAAGATGAGAGTGCAGATAGACCACCAGATGGAAAGAATAACGTCTCGAGTACAGTAACCAAGAAAGCAGAGAAGTCTGCAGAGAAGTTAATCAACACAACCAGCTCGGAAGCGGCAAAGGAGACGAAGGAGGAGACTTCGGATACCAGCTTGAAACTTCCTAAGCATGCCGCGAAGTCTAACGGCGCCTCCGCCACCAATAGCGATGACGATGACTTTCAAGATGCGCCCTCTACTCCTTTGCCCGAGCGTACAACTCAAACCGAGTCCCAAGACGCCAACGTCAACGCCGATGCTACGTCGCCAATACCTAAACAATCCGAGGTCAAGGAAGCTACAAATTCAACAGAGAACGGGCCGAACGACAGGTCACATGCCTACGATTATGAGAAGACGGAGCTACCGCAGCCCTCAAAACGAAAGAATACGTTAACTAAAGATGTACAAGCAATTTCGGGGCCGTCCATTAAACAGGTCGAAGCTAGTAAGCACACGGAAGAGAGCAAGAAAGATTCCCACATCGGTCACAATCGAGACATCAGCATAGCCAGCACCAACCATGATGTCTCGGAATTTTCCCACCAACAGCTTACGGCGCATCAAGAAGAGAAGAAAGGAGATGACGAGGATGAATGGCAGACTATGCCGGCTTACGCACCTTACGATATTTACGACGACGACAACAAACTTATAGCTAAGGAGCATAATCCCGAAGAGGATGATAATTACGGGTATGGCAATCTCGGCGGCGCGGGCAAAGGATACACCAGGGTCATAGACGACGAAGACGCTGAGTCGGAAACAAGCATGGACGACAACACAAGATACTTGTTTAAGGATCCCAAGAGTACGAGTGTGATGGAAATGGACGAAGAACAGCGAGACGCCGTTTCTCAACTTCAAGCTACCAAGGACCTATTGACGGAGGGGCAAAGGATTGCATACGTTGGAATCACCCGTTTGGAGCTTTCGGAAATGGTCAAGGAAGCCGAGAGCATTGAGCAGCTGAAGAAGATCAAGAAAGACGTTCAGTTAGCAGCTGAAGCGATGAAGATGTGGTCCCAGAAGATTATGGTTCGGCTATATGCGCATATGGAAATAAGCCCCGCGGAACAGGTCATGATCGAACAGCTGGCCGAGCACGGCGTGATGCCTGGAGATCTTACACCAGCCCTCATGCAGAATTCCAGAGTTAAAAACCCCATGGCAGAGCAAACACCCGCCTCGACTCCAAGACTATCGATGAAAAGCTCTCGATCATCCACATCCATAACACCATCTCCCAAAGATGAAAAGGCCGCGGAGCCACCGCCACCATATGAGAGCCATGAAGGTGAAGAAATGCCAGAAGTAAGGACGCCTTCGCAGCTTCCCAGCACCGATAAAATCGACATCGATCTGCGGTGGACTGTTCTATGCGATCTTTTTCTGGTGCTGATTGCCGATTCGATCTACGATGCGCGGTCTCGTGTTCTGCTCGAACGAATTGGCAAAGACTTGGACGTACCATGGATAGATATATGTAGGTTCGAGAAGCGCGTCACTGATGCCCTGGAAATGCAACAGCAAGCAGAAAAGGAGAATTGGAACGAGGAAGAACATCTGGAGAACAGGAGGAAACTCGCACTCAAGAAACGATACGTCATGATGGGCTTAGCCACCGTTGGAGGAGGCTTAGTTATCGGCCTCTCCGCTGGACTTCTGGCACCTCTCATCGGCGCTGGCCTCGCTGCTGGCTTTACAACCATTGGAGTCGGCGGTACAAGTTCTTTTTTAGCAGGTGCAGGAGGAGCTGCTATCATCACCTCAGGTGCCGCGGCCTCTGGCAGCTTTATGGGTGGTAAAGCTGCAAATCGGCGAACCGGAGCTGTGAAGACATTTGAATACCGTCCACTACATAATAACAAACGTGTCAATCTAATCATAACGATTTCCGGGTGGATGACCAGTAAGGCAGACGACGTACGTCTGCCTTTCAGCACTGTCGACCCTATAATGGGTGATCTCTACTCGATCTTGTGGGAACCAGAGATGTTGACCAGCATGGGTGACACCATCAACATCCTAGCAACGGAGGTAAAAGGACTCGTCTACACCCCGTACATACCAAACCGCAGACGCTAATGTGCATAGGCTCTCACACAAGGGCTCCAGCAAGTGCTAGGCAGCACAATCTTAATTGGACTGATGGCTGCCCTACAACTGCCAGTGGTTTTGTCTAAGCTAGCGTATCTAATCGACAACCCTTGGGCTGTATCTCTTGACCGGGCGTGGTCCGCTGGCCTCATTCTCGCAGACTCCCTGATCGATAGAAACTTGGGGACTCGACCTATCACCTTGGTCGGTTACTCTCTCGGATCGCGCGTCATCTACGCCTGCCTCCTAGAACTTGCTCGAAAGGGTGCCTATGGATTAGTCCAGAATGTCTACATATTCGGTTCGCCCCTTGTAGTCAAGAAGGAGGAGTTCTTGAAGGCACGTACCGTCGTCGCCGGCCGATTCGTAAACGGATATAACAGGACAGACTGGATCTTGGGCTATCTATTTCGTCTCACCAACGGCGGAATTCGTCGGATCGCAGGCCTGGCCCCCGTGGATAATATACCTGGCCTAGAAAATATCGACTGCACGGAATTTGTTGTTGGGCACATGGAGTATCGTACCGCGATGCCTAGGCTTCTTAGAGAGTGCGGCTGGAGCGTCGAGAGTGACGAGTTCGGCGAGATCGAGAATCCAGATCCCGAGCAGCACAGAGAACGGCAGCGGGAACTGATCAACGAAATTGAGGAAGCTCGCAAGGAGTTAGAGAAAGAGGAGACCTCTAAGAAGGGCGGCTGGGGTATCTTCAGCCGCAAAAAGAAGGCCGCGCGCCAGGAATGGGAGGTGTATGAGGACAGCAACAAAGCAGGACTGGAGGCATCCCGGACTGAAGACAAAGAGGGAAATAACCACGGCATCCTGTTCGATGTTGATGCGATGCGAGCGGAGCTAGCAAAGGAAGACGAACTACAACCAAAGGAACTACGGTCGACGCTTCCACCGATGAAACTCGACTTATCACCCCCACCAACGTCGAATAATTTGAGAGATACGCTTCGCGGTACTAGGAGCGATGACGCAGTCTTTAAAGGTTCTCCATTAGGAGGATATAGGTTATCTCAAGAACGCACGCAGACGTTACCCGCCCGGGGGCTGGACTACCACCCCCCACCACCAGACGACGAGATTCAGATGACCTTCGATACATCGTACGTAGAGTATGCCGAACCGCCGTCGCCTCCAGCGAAGGATGCGTCCCTCGCAAGGCCAGAGATCAAAACCGCCCAGACGACGCCGAACCTGGCACTGGCAGACCCTTGGGCGGACGATGACGACGACTTTGGCAAGGAGAAGGAGATCTCGATGACTTTTGCGTAGTATATAATTATGTGGTTTTGGGGGTATTTATAATAACTTAATGCTCAAAGGATTTTATCTTTACCTCGCTTGGTAGCACGCCTATAATAGGGAGGGGGAGACGCATTGATCGGTGTTCGTTTCGTTGGTTCGAAAGGTATCAGTGTCGCTCGTTTATCACCGCCCGTTGAAATATGAAATATTACTTAGGAGTTGGCTCTTGACCTCTAAGAAGTAGGTAAGTTCCTATTGCCATGAGCTATGATGCTTTGAGGACAATATTAGGGTCAGGCGGTTTGGGAATCAGGTGGGGTGGGACAGGATTTGACAGTTGTGTACTCAGTAGGCAGGTATGTAACGAGATAGTCAAATAAGACAAACTGGAGATGTCATGATAATAGACAGTGAGAACTTGGAAAGACATGAATGAGATACGAAAGTTGCAACACTATGGTGCTATCGTCTAGTGGTAGGACAACACGTTGTGGCCCCTGGCTCTGAAACAGCATCCGTGTAAACGACGGTTCGATCCCGTCTGGCACCAATCTTTTGTCACCTTTGGCACCGATCCTTTATGAGGAGATATGATTTTACCATCATACTCGTTACTGGAAAGCTCAATAAGTCATTCTGAATATAGAATCGGCTATATTACACAATGGCTTCCTCTATCTTAAACAACGTGAAGGATACCTATCTACCTAAGTGGATAAAAGAACAGCTTTCAATAACTATATCCTAGCACTTTAAAGATCGTAAGCAACTCACTCACGGCGGAATCATCACGCAATCCATAATTAGGAAGGGGTAGTCAAAACAGAGCTAATGTACGTGAATAGCGTATGTTAGGTAACTTTGTAAGCATTCATGTACGTTAATTTTTTATATGTGCCCTTTCCTTGAGGTCAATGCTATCGAAAAAGAATATCAATATAATGATGACACCTAGACGATGTTGACTACCTCGGGACTACTGTTACGTATGCCCACCCAAAGGAGAAGGTTGTAGCAAACCCAATAGCTGAATAATAAGTTTATTCCAAGCCTGCTAATGTTTATTGCCTTGCTAACTAGTTTGCCAGTATCATCATTGCCGGTTGATTGTGCTGACGCAATCACCCACGACACAATAGACTAGGTGATGGAGAAAAAAAAAATAAAACCTTACACATATGCCTACCTACCTTGATGAAAGATAGGGAATAATTGTTTACTGCCTCTATCCTCGGTATAGTGTTGAAAACTAATCAGGCCTCAAACGTCGGCGGTGCCGAGAAGCATACATTCCCGCTCGCTCTTGCTCATAATTATTCGAAAGAGCCATGCGTTCCATACAACTTTGCTGCTCAGGTCTATGGTGTACACGAGCCATTTTAATCATCATGGACCATGACGAGATAATTCCATGTACATGTTCATACATCATTACGTGGCAGCTATATATTAACAAATATATCCCACACGTTGGCTAAGCAAAGGGGAAGGTTTTGACAATGATATAATGCGCATCCTAATAGCAACAATTGTTCGAACATCAAACGTGAGCGACCTTCCAATTGGCAGTGATACGTGTGGTTACTATTTATAAACTTACTTCCTCCTTTGTAAGGGCTCGAAAGTACTGCAGTGGGACTAACTACTGGAGTAATCCTGCCACTCCTATCGGGACCGAGTAGATCTGTCTGTTGTTGCCCTTTTCGGAGTTTTTCTTCGGTAGTTACTTGAAATTGTCGGTAGTTGGTGATGTTATCATTTTGTATAGATTCTATCATTGGGTTACTACCTACCAAAGTTCGATTGCATTTGATATGTTAAGGTTTCACCAGGAATCATTAGTATGACATTATCATGAAATTTCCTGTTCATCAAATAAACGAAGATACCATCGGGGATAGTGGCGTATGGAAGAGTATCTTGTAATAGAAAAAGAGTAGCCATCTTCGAACACTTGTAATAACACGACTGCACTTAGCGTACGGGCAAGCGGTTTGCTATTCTAAATTATCCCTAGTTAGCTGGTTATTAGTTGGTTGAAAAAGATTCTGAACGTGTTATGTATTCCATAATAGCAGATGCTTCCTAGACCTTTGACTGGAAACGTCCAGATGGACTTTACCAAGTTTCAAATGTCAAAGGCATGCATTGATGTACACGATTCTACGAATACCTTCGTCCGGGTTGGTGGAGTCGGCGCGGGCCGTTGAGTGGCCGCATGTGGATATCGTACCTATAATGTATCACATAGACAGATGTAACTTACCCAAGCTGTATATCATAATAAAGAGATCTAAGAACTCTTGTGAACAGTAAGGCGCATACGTGGAAATTATAATTAAGAGTGCTATCCAGGCCATCTTAATATACCTAGGGTTGAATCGCAAAGAGAGGATTACATTCTACACGATTTGCATACCGCTCGTTCTGCCACAACACAAATTGTAAACTGACACAGTAAGATGGACTGGATAAGATTCACCTGACCGATCAGAGGAGAAGGAAAGGATGTGGCACCAATCCATATCTTCCAATCGCATCATAGGATGGTACTCTTATGTACCTGCTATTTTAGCACTGTTAAGGCTTAGGTACCTAGGTTAGGTAGGGGGTAGGGTGGGTTAGGTGATGGAATAGGGGTTCGTCTGCCAATCCCATGTGGCGCTAAGACGCTACTGATCAGCCGCAGCCGCAGTCTAATCTTTTTCTATTTCTGGCTCGGCCCCATTTTTCGTCTGACATACTTGAGACAGACGGGGGACGCTCACCCGGCTGCCCGGCTGGCGCTTTTTATTAATATTTCTCTTCTCGTCTACCTAGGTACTCATCAGGGCCGAATATCGTTCACAACTACGGAATATGGGTGTTTGTTTGGTCAGGTCGAAACACCCATCACCTACGTCACTCTTTCGACGCAATCAGACATCCCGAACCGTCGGTCGCTGGCAGACATTGGCGACCGCTAAACCTTACCTGGGTACTTTGTAGTCCTAAAGGATCTAGAACCCTTCATTTTTCCGTACTTCGTCGTCAGACAGGCGACGTTGTCAGCACGCCTTGAACCAATCATGGCCTGCTATTCGGTCAGGTTGCGGATCCCGTTCCAAAATTCAAAAGTTCCAGTCACCTACTATGTAGCCCACCTACAAGCCTCCAGGGCCGGCACACACACCCCTAATACCGGGTGGCATTTGACCACGGTTATCATTGTCTATTCCTAGCGATTTGCAGACGGAATCGACTGGATTATTACTTCGATTCAACGCCTTCCATGCGCTACCAACCTTCCTTTGCGTAAGTAGTTAATCCACCCTCGTGGAACTTGGCCGAGTACGCGCACAGAATATAACATCATAAGCTGAAGACGGTCTACATATAATGCATCTCGAGCGGGGAGCCCACGCTCGAGAGGGAATTCACTTCGCGTTGAGCATGACCCGGATAGCCAAACATGGATTTCTAGCCCATTGGCACTATTCCGTAATCCTTTGAGATTCCTAGCTTGTAGCGTAACAGGCTGGGGTGAGAGACGGGGGCTTGTCTAACCCCCATTAGGTACATTGTAGTAACCAGAGCATTTGGCTGGGCTCCAAATGTGTCGTAACGTTCTTGAATAGAGGCACCAACGGCTTAACGACTGGTGACTGGCGTTGATTTCTTGTAGAGTACGAGCACCGTATACCTAGATTGGTAGCAATGGATGGTGCCATCCATTCTCTTTCGTCTCCACCAGTTGGGTTTACTGTGTACAGGTGCAGTTAGCAGTCATGGCTCCGTGGCTGACTGCATGCAACTAATTGGGTCTCTCGTTGGCGCGCACTTGTGACAAGAAACCAGACCCGCACCGCTTCATCCAACTCCCTACTCCCCTAGCGGACGCAGCTGAGAAGCTGACAGACCATACAGACCATGCTAATGCACAACCCCCCTGCATCCTTCACTATTTCCATATCCGCTCCCTCGCTCTCATTCGATTCTCCTCATTTTTTGTGACTGTTTCTTCGTCTACGGTTTTGCTTGGTGCTTCCAACCTAGATTCAGGCTTGCGTCGCTTCGTGTAACGTACAACCACATAGACGCGAAGGCGAAGGCGCTTGGCTCCCGTCGTGATACCCTCACGGCTTGGGTATCTTTCTGTGTGACTTCGATGTATTTGGGCTTCCGGGAACTCCAACCGACGGCGATAACACGAAATTTGCTCACCCAACAATGCGGCTCGATGTTTCGATATTCAGGACCCTGGCCTGCTTAGCAGGATTGGTGGCAGCACAGGCACAGGACAGCGACGACCGGAGTACTAGAGGAGTATCAACTGATAGTGGCGCAACGGCAACGACAACTTCATCGTCGAACTCGGTTATCGAAGTGGAAGCTCTACCAACAACATATCCCGTTTACACGCCGAAAAATGGAAACCAGACAATAACTTACAGTAAGGGTTCGGGCATCACAAACTTGACCGTCACCGCTGTCAACCTTAAACGATTTGATGACAATACGACTATTGCCGAAGGGGTGATAGATACTACGACAGGCATCAGCACGAGCACGAGCACGACAAGCACGGGCGTTGGCGCTTTGTTTCATTCGGACGAAGGAGCAGTAGGACGGAGGGAAGGCCCATCGCCGTTACCACCATTCAAGTTTCCGAGTATGGTGAATTCAAAATTGCTAATTGTTGGAGCGTAGGATGCTAACGAGATGTTATAGTGACCGATGACAGCCTTGTACTCATAGTTAGTTCAGATTTAGATGAATATGGCAACAACATTGGCCGGCCCTTGTATTATGAATTTCAATGGGAGAACTCGACATCGAAGGGCACGAGCTATAGTCAACTTATTGCAGTCGCTACCGATAGTGACACCCAGTCTGCTATTGATGCCATTAAAGAGTCCGGAAAGGAGACAAGTCCAGCATTTTCAGAAGTCATCACCGATGATTCATCCTCGAGCGACGACCCGACGAGTTCGGCGACTGCCCCTACCCCAGCCGCCGAAACATCGGCAGAAGTGGCGGCGTCGCAATCCTCCTCTGGCGGCGGCGGACTGAGTACGGGTGCCATAGCGGGCATCGCGGTGGGCTGCGTCATCGCGGGTCTACTGATCATCGGGTTCCTAGCGTGGTTCTGTTTCTTCCGCCGTCGTGGCAGCCGCCAGCGCGTCCGCGGCACCGATTTCGCCGCCGACTCGGGCACGCACGCCATGATGCCGGACAAGGAGGCCGTCGCCATGTCCCAGTCGTCACCGCACTCGGCCTTCGCCGACGACGGAGGACGCCTACACGACCCCCAACGCCGCAGCGCGGCACCCGGTGGTGACGGCGCCTCCTCTGCACCGTATTCGGACCGAGCGCGCTCTACGTCACCACCGGCAGGCGGCGCAGCGTTGCCGACGGCGGTCCACAACCACAGCCAGACGGACGTGGCGAATACGTCGAGGCCGCCGTCGCCGCCGTTCAACTCGCGCTACGCGCACCTGATCGAGGAGGGCATGACGGAGGACGAGATTCGGCGGCTCGAGGAGGAGGAGCGGCACCTGGACGCGGCGA